CAAAGAGATCGCAGATGGCGGGGACGTCGAGGAACTTGCGGCTCTTCAGTTGCCAAGCGACCTCGCGGCGGTCGACGAGCCGTCCAGCAGATCTCATGGCAACGGCGGGAACGGATATCTAGTCCGCAAGGTGCAATTGTTCAACTAGCCTTGTGGGGGGCGGACCAATCCCTTGGACCCGTGCCAGGGCCGGCGCACCCCCACACAAATATCTCGACTTCCTGAGCTCGGAAATCGCTGGGAAAACGTCGCAAACGATTGCGAGAGAGTGAAATGAAAGACGCAGGATGCATCCGGTGATTTCGAGTTCGGGTCTCTCGGCCCTTGTGGTACAATCGGCTAGTATCCTGCCCGGCTATCCACACGCTCCCGTGCTTCCTCCAAATGATTGCCTCGCGGTGCATGTATATCGACGCTTTTTTGATCTAGTCAATAGATCGTTCGGCGGCGTCGTACTCGTCGGCCGTCGCCTTGTTGACACGTCATCCGATCGGACGCCCCGGAGAAACGAAACGCCATCCCCCTTTGCCGCGATGGACCTCGTCGCGGCGTTGACCGCATACGCGGCCGCAATCCGCTTCGACCCGGCTTTCGTCGTCGGAGGCCTCGCCGTGGTGCTGGAGAGCGGGCTGCTCCTCGGCTTCCGGTTCGGCCCCGCGCCGTCCCTCACGCTGAACATCGGCGGGCCGGGCGGCATCCGGGTCATCGCGCCCGACGAGGAGGTCCACGGCGTGTGTTATCTTCAGCTGTGGTTCCCTGCCGACGAGGCGGGGCGGGATCTGTGGCAGCGCTGCCTCGCGGCGAGCGCCCGCAACGATGCCCCAACCGCGGTCACGCTCGACGGAGCGGCGCTGGAGGCACTATACGGCGGGCAAACCGAAAATACGGAGGCGCGGGAGGCGGCTTTCAAGTACGAGCGGGTCGTTCGGGAAGTCGGACGCGTTCCGGACCTCAAGCTCGGCCTCGTCACGGGGCAGCAGAACCCGGTGGTCCTCGACCTCTGGGAAACGATCCTAATCTGGCTCATATGCGCTCTCTTTGGCGCCAAAGCCAAGAACCTTTCCCCCTACCCCAAGCATTCTTACGTGCGCCGTCCTGGGACGGATGTCGTTTTGGCGCTCGTCGCGGAGCGGGTGCGCTTTCTCGCCCTTTCCCCTCCGGGCTCCTACCGCCACCTTGGCGCGCCCGGCTTCCACGTCTTGGGACCCGCAGATCGATGGAAGCACCGTTCCGTGGACCTTCTGCTGGCCATCTTCGTGCAAGGCGTTCTTGGAGATGTTTTCTCTGGGACTCCGTGGCCAAGGTTTTTGGACTGGTATCGCTCCCTCTCCCTCTCCGAGCTCATCGACGCGGACCGTGACGTCGGGCGCCACCTGGTCACCGAGACGGGTGCATCCATCCTCATCCATTTCGGCGAGTCTCGGTCCCCTTCCTTCTCGGTGCCGCCCAACGAGGCGCTTTCGGAGACGCGCGGGCACCTGGCAAGGTGCTACGATTTTTCCATCCGGCGTGTGGAACTTGATGGGGGCGGGGAGGTGGTTTTCCTGCAGATCGCCACGGTGCACGCTGGCTTTGGGTTCTATGGAACGGCTTTGCGCATGCGCGTCATTGACGTGTTAAGGAGGCTCGCCGATCTGCTCGAGCTCGTCGTCGCGGAAGAGGAGCGGCTGATGCACGAAGTGGGTTGGGACTTTCCAGCTAGGGGCGCGATCCTGACACCCCTTCCTACCCTTCCCTTCGTCCCACTCCACAACACAGGATGGACTCCAGCTCCGCTCCTACGCGCTCGCGGAGAGGCTTCTTGGCTTCGCGCAGCCGCTTCTCGGGCCGTACCGCGAGGCTATTTACGCGCTCGAGGTTGCGGCCGGGGAGCGCGGTTTGGAGCCGCCGCTGCACGAGCTCATCCCTCCCGTCGACCCCCGGAACTACGGGCCTGCGGATATTGACCTCCTGGTTGCAAACCTGAAGGAGAACCTGGAGAAGCTCGGAGTTGCGCGGCTGGACGAGGTCGCGGAGCTCAAGACGTGGTTCGGCCCGGACGCGACTCTGGCGGACGTGGCAGGGGCGAAGCCGGCGCCAGGGACCGCAGCGGACGCCAGCACGGAGGCAGAGGTAGAGCTTGCTTCCGAGGATGAGCCGTTCGCCGGCGCGGACCGCTCGGACGTCAACGTCGTGCTGGCCCACGCCGCCCCCGACGCCGCTCCTGCGACCGATCCCGCTGGCGTGCAGCCTGGTGCTCCTGCGGCCCCGGAGAGCATCGAGGAGCGGCTCAGCTACATGCCGCCGGATCGGGGCAAGGATCTTTACCTGCGGCTCCACCAGGAGGCCGGGAGGCGGTACCCGGCTTGCGTCGGACGGCGGGGCTTCGATGCGATGGACGAGGGGCGGAAAGCACTGATTCTGGCCGGCATTCTCGCCGAGTGGCGCGAGGAGGACGCCGAGGCTGCGTACCACCGCCTCGCGACCGGCGTGATGGAGAAGCTCGTCGAGGATGGGCTATTCGATCCGAAGATGGTCTCGCCAGAGGTCGTCCGCAAGCAGGCCACCTGGCTGTCGGCAATTCTGAGGACCCGGAAGCCGACGCCCGGGGCAACCAGGCCGATTGAGAAACTCTTCTTCACCTGCTGCGGACTCGTCGCCAGCAATGCTCTATGCGAGCATTCCGAAACGTTTGCGCCGTACCTGGTGCACCCCACGTGTTACGCTCCGAACGACGTCCACCAGGTCACTCCCATCTTGCTCACCGACAGGTGCAGCACGGGACCGCGCTTCGGATTCGATGCCATACCCTTCGAGTCCGCCGAGCCTGCCTTCCCTCCCGACACCGTCACCTTCCCGCGGGCCCCACTCCTTCCCACCGCGTTCGACTACTGCGCTTTGGAGCTGGAACGCGAAGGGCCTCGCCTCGTGAACCACCGCCAGCTAGCTCGCTTCGTGTCAAAGTCGCTCCTACGGCTCGTGGACCTCGCAGACCGTGCGCCAGCCGAGCTGCCTGCGCTCCGCGGCTGCGAGCTCGCCCAGGCCCGCGTGATCGTCGACCTTTACGGGGAGGAGTTCATAAGGAAGATCGTTTCCTACCAGCAGGTCACCTTGGGCCCGGAGAAGGGCAAGCATATTTCCTTCGCACTGCTCGTCAAGCGGCAGCTCGATCTTGTGCTGGGACCTCCCGAGCTCACCCTGTTCGACGCGCGGATGGGATGCAATCTGTACTACTACCGGATCGGGCCGGTTGGGGCGGAAGGCATCGGGCAGCAGCTCGTGCCAGACTTGGAGTGGGAGGATTTCGGCACGGCCCTGGGCATCCGGCGCGCCGAGGCCAACGCCAAAAGGAAGCCGGAGAGAAAGTCCGACTTTTCGTGCGCTTGCCCACGCTGCCATGGCGGGCACAGGGGTGACGGAGGCCCGCGGTTGCGGGTCGGACAGCGCGAGCACCCGCTCTATCTTTCCGACGCCTCGACCATTGCGGCCCACACGCTGCAGGACGGCGAGTTCCACCTCCTCGTCCAGCGCGACGCTGCCGACGGGCCGCCTTCCGGGCCTCGTGCTCTCGACGTCGGGCCGCGCGAGGCGGCTGATCCGGTTTGCGATCTTGCCGCGATTGATGAGGCCCCAGCACCCGGACCCGTCCTCCTCTGCGACAACTGCACCTGGAAGAACGAGTGCCGACACGCCACGCACGCCCTGTGGCTCGCGTTTTTCCGGAACACCGTCGTCAAGCGGATCAAGGTCGCGTTATCGGAGGCATCGCTCTGGATTCCCGCGCTGGTCCCGGCGAACACGGCGTTGAAGGAGCAGAAGCAGAAGCCGCGGGGGTTAGGCGGGCAGAAGGGTGGTCGCCAGAGGGTGCGGAGCGCAGCGGCGCCGATTGCCGTGGATCCGGTTCCCGGGGAGGGCGGTGACGCTTCGGACGGCGGTGCTTCGGACGGCGACGACGAAGGAGCGCCCGTGGCCAAGAGGCCGAAGCTCGACGGTGGCGTCGAGGAGCCGGTGGATGCGTCGGCGGAGGCGGAAGGGGAGCCGGCGAGTGCGGTGGCAGAGGCGGAGGTGGAGGATGGCGGCCCTGAACGGTTGTTCAGGCTCTTCCGCGACGAGCTCGAGCACCCTCGCTGCCGTGACCAGGGCTGGTCAAACTGCGTGTTCGAGGACGAGTATGACTCTTCCGACGAGGAGACCTGGGGCTGGGAAGACCCCGACTGGGAGGAAGGCGAATGGGTCGAGCTGTAGATGGAGTGAAATCGAGGACATGGAACGCTGCGACGTCATCGTCTCCGATCCGATCCACCGACCACCTCCGGGACGCCGCGATATCCTCGCCAGACGTTTCGAAACCCTGCCAACGTGATTGCCTCTACCATGCGGCGTAACTGTCCGCCTGGGCCTCGGCTTCCGGATCCGCAACGACGAGAATAGGGAGTTCGCCGGGTACGCGAGGCACGGGGTCTTCCGCGACGCCGGTGCGGTCGATGGCGACGTCGGCGTACAGGGGCTGTAGCGAACATCGCCAGTCCGGCGGCCCCGGGCCGCGGACCCCACCCCGCCCATGCCCACCGCTCGTCCGTCCCGCCTCCGTCCCGCGCCCCGCCCCGCCGAGCGCATGATCCATTGCCTTGCGGTGATTTTGCGGCCGTCGGGCGGGTCGGCGGACGCCCGAGGAGGGCGCGGGGGCGGGTGGATGTGTGCCGTTTTTCGCGCGCGCTCTGCCCTCACCCGCGCCAGACGGACCCCGCGGGCCGGAACAATCGGGAGTGAGAAAATGCCGGATGCTTTTACGCCGATCGCACCGGATTGGCCTCTCCGGGTGCGCTCCCGGGTTGTCCGGCCGCTCCCGATGGTTTGCGGCGGGGATGCGGGGTTTGTTTTGCAAGCCCTTGGCAGACCAAGCCCTTAGCCTCGCCCCCCTCGCTCCCTCGCTCTTGACTTCCCGAGCTCGGAAATCGCTGGAAAACGTCGCAATGAAGCGCAGGAGTGGAGTGAAGTGTGCAAAATTTTTTGTGGTTTTGTGAGGACTGACGGATTTGAACCGCCGACCAATCGATCTGGAGTCGAACGCGCTGCCAACTGCGCCAAGCCCTCTTGAAGGGCATTCTATTACCCAGGGCATCGCGGGCGTGCGGTGTGAACAAATCTGATCTGACTTTCCTTTACCCGGACCGGGGCGTCGTGCAGGACCTCGTCGCCATGGTTCGTGCACGTGTGCATGGTATTGGATCGGCCCGAAGATACAAAGACCTAGAGCTTTGAGAGTTCTGTCAGGTATGTATTACGTCGAATGACGCTTGTAGAAGCGCACGGCATTCCGAAACTATCAGAGCGCGGTCGCACGAGCCGAAAGCGCGTACACGTCTCCGTTGAAAACCGCGAGCCAATCCACCCGCGAGCTTAATTTTCAAAGTGCAGGCAACGATGTGGGCCAGGAGATCGGTGAGGGGGGTCTTTGTCCACCATAAATCCGTGGCATGCCCGTCATCCGCTTCCGAGTGCACGCTTTGGTGCCAAGTGGCAGCGATCGGGTCCTCGGGCGGCTAGTCGAATCCGACGTAGGTACAGCACTATCGGAACGAAGTTTATGCCCTTGCCATTTGTGAGATTCTTGAGATTCTCCGATGACAGCGATGGGAAAGCCTATGCTGCAAGAATGCATAAGCTTCTTATTCCCCACTGCAAGAATACATACAACACACTGACTGCAAGCCAGGTCCCAAAACGTGATACATGATGTGCTTGCTGGATTTGATTTGATTCCACACTCCATCCTCCTTTTTCCATCTTGAACCGTTCCGTTTTCCGCCCTCGTCCTCCATTCGAACTGCATGTCACAACCAGTGGATTTAGGTCGTGAAGTTGAGCCGCACACTCCCGGCGTCGTAGACGACATCAGCAACTGTGCTGGCAGACACCAGCAGCCACGGCCCAAGCAACGATTTGGCATACGTTGCACTAGCCTTGCCTGCCGCATTTGTGGCGTTGGTCTGCAGCAGCTGACCCCAGGCATTGAACGCAATATCGAAACCTTGGAGAGCGGTCGTAGTGAAGGGATCCGTGAGCGTGGCTGTGAAAAGGGTGTTGGTCCCTCCTGTTGAGGCGCACGGGGGCAAGCTTGACGATCAAGGCTGCTGTGACGTTCGAAGGGCCGACGTCCTCGCCGCCGGTGAACTCGGCCAGCAGAGTGCCGTTCCCGCCCGGCTGCATGGGGGCGCGGTAGACGAGCGATGCGATCCCGGTGGCGCCCGTCACGTTACTGCCGATCGGGGCGCCGTCGAGCGAAAAGGAGATCTGCCTGCCGGCTCCGACCCTGGTCCTGTTTGCGGCAAAAGACAAGGTAGCCGAGATTGTGGCGTCGCGGCCTTTGGTGCCAGTCACCGCGCTCATCGCAATTGACAAACGGGGACGGACGAAGGGCACCGATCCCGCCGCAGAGCTTCCGAGCGTTGAGCCGTCGCCTGCCCATGATACATTGATCGGCGTCGGCACAGCGGGGATCGTGTAGGAGAACGAGGCGAGGCCCAGGGAGTTGGTCGTTGCTGCAAGAGTGGCTGCCTGTCCCTGAGTGGCCAGCACGAGGCGCTTCGCGGCCACCGGTCTGCCCGCCGCATCCGTGAGTGTAGCGTTGATCGCGCCCTTGTCACCCGCTGGTACTCCGACAGGGAGTTGGAGCGAAATTGCGGTGACCTGGTACACCCGAAGGGTGCCGTTGCGGGAGGATGTGGTGCCGGTGGCCAACGTCGGCAACACAGGGAGGAGTTGTCCGGCCTTGAGGTCCACAGGGAGCTGCACAGAGCTCCGGGCAGAGCCGCAAGAGTCGGTGATAGATGTACCGGGAACGAGAACGTTGTTGACGTTGAATGTTACGGCGACACCGGCTGCGGGGGACCCATCGGGATTCAAAACGACCGCCGATATGCCTGCCCGCGTTCCTGCCACGACATTGGAGTCGGCGGCGGCAACAAAGGTCGGCATAGGGGCCGCACCTGGGCGTAAACGCGATTAGCACAACCAACAAAACGGTGCTTGAGGACGCCAACCGAAGACAAAGGAAGTTGGGGTCGGGGTGAACGTTGCACTCTGCGTCATCGTTTCCATCATCGCCTCTGTGAGCGTTTCGACGGTGGTTGTCGCTGCATAAGTCTGGAGAAAGCAGGTGTCGGCGTCTAAAGTGGACGGCGGGAACGATGCATACCATTGTGGCCGCTTCGGACGTCGTGAGAATTTCGGTCGTGCTGGTTTGCGGCGGTTGCCAGTTGATCGCAATAGAGTACGTGCTTGTGGTTCGACCGTCCGCGGCAATGACACTGACGTAGACCGTGTTGTCGCCGGCCCTGGGCAAGGAGATCGCAGTTGCAACGTTTGAGATAAGCGTCGTAAAAGGACCAGCAGGATCGTTGAATGTATAGCCAAGCATCGCGCCGACGTCAGTGGTCACAGCCTTGAGCAAGAGTTCCGAAGTCGGGCCCTGGTACGGGATAGGCCAGAATGTGTAATTGGTAAAGGCGGAGCCGTGAATGACAAACGGTGGCCGCAGAGACCCTTGGTCAAGCACGAGGTCCGAAAGCGTCGAATCCGAGCTGGGAGGGACGGTGCTGGTCGCGGCAAAGGTCTGGAGGGAGCAAACTTCAGTGCATAAACCGGACGACTGCAAAAATGCACACCGTCGTGGCCGCTTCCAATGTCGTAGTCTCCGTCAATGTCTCCGTCACAGTCTCCGTCGTCGTTTTTGTGTCGGGGCAAGCAAAGTTAGTGCGATCGGGAGTGGGCCAAATGTTGGCTTACCGGAGAAGGGTTGAAGAGCTCTATATCATAGATTACTGGCCCCGAAACTGGATTCAATATGATCCAGATCTTGTTGTTGCCATAGACCATAGGCACATCTTTCCCAGAACCTGAACTTAACGCCTCGCGGGTGCGGTCTCCATCGGTGGAGTAGAACAGTGTCCCTGACGGAGTACGGCGAAAAGAAGCTGTGGCAACGTGAGCGCCGAAGCCGGGTCAACAGCCGGATCAAGGGGGCCCAGAGCAGAAACTCCTGCGGCAGCCGTGGGAGAACGGCGCCTACGATCTCGCGGAGAAGATCGTGAGCACTTGGCTCCAGAAAGCTCCCCTCCGCCCCTCAGGAAGGAGAGCCGCGAACTGATTTCGCCTCGACGAAGAACCCCTACACCTTCGGTAAGCAATGGCATGGGCGTGAAGGAGCAACGTCGCTTACCTCGACGAAGGTAACGAGAGCGACGACTCGCCCCGCGGCGCTCAAGAGCCGTGTTTAAGCGGGGTCAGGGAGTTCGAAGGCGGGAGGGGGGAAAGAAGACGAAGCAGCCACCGCGCTCCTCGTGCTCCTGGGAAGGAAATAGTCTTCTCCGCAAATGCCGACTTCATTCGTTGCCCATGTTGTCTCTCCATGCCCTGGCGACGCGGCTGAGCGAGCCCCAAGCCGGGGACGAGGTTCAAGAAACGCTGTCCGCGCCCCGAAGACGTGCTTCCCCCGCCTCCGCAGCCACCGCGGGGCAGAAAAGCACCGCCATAACATAAAGACGCGTGCTGGAACGTCTGCAGCGGCCCACGAGACGGTGGAGCGCTGTTCCCGGCGTCGAAGCACCTGGGCCGCGCGAGCGTCTCCCCCGGGCCCCCGGCGCCGTATCCGAGGCCGCCCACGGCATGGAAAATTCGCAAATAATTCCCTGCGACGGCCTGCACCATCGGCGAGGCCGGGGGAGCACTACAGCAAACAGGTCGGTTGCGAGTGCACTATACAGCAGATAGCATGACACGCTCCTGGGGCCGAAAAAAGCACCCCCTTACTCCCATACAATGCGAGCCGACACCGTTCCGCTCGTAGCTGGACCGTGCAGTTTGACCGTGCAGGCTTCTTCCTTAGCTGGGCCAAATGCAGTCAGAGCCAAAGGACGCTCGGTCCTTCCAAACCACCGCCGCGCAACGGATTGCTCCTGCACCACTTCGTCCACTACCAAAGAGCGATGTTGCAGTACACACCGGCGGGCATAGCCTGCCAAGAGTTTGAGCCGAATTGAGTCGCCGCTGGCCCCTTGATGGCGCCCATTGGAGGCACTGGGGTGGTTCAGACAGGCAGGCCGAGGAGGGGCCGTTTCGGAACCTGGCCGATGCTCTCGTAACTGGGCCCTGCTGGGCGACATCTTCGACCGCAAAACAGAAGTGGCGATATATCAGAGTCATTTCGTGCGCGCGATCGGGTACCTCGGCCAGGATTCGCTTTGAGCTTGGGGAGATGCGTCCCGACTCCAGCCATTCGGTGACTGTGCGCGCCCCGAAGAGACCGGCGCAAGTCGCCAAGAGGCTGCAAAATGGGGTCGGCATGGGTCATTTGCGACATTTCCATGCTTAAATAGGCCCTTGCGACGGCCGTGCGCGGACTTGCGGAAGCGCGCAACGCGTCGCACAAACGGAGAGGGCTGGTTCGGGGAACCTGTGTCAACAAGGCAGGCCGGCGGCGGTTGCCCGCGTTCCTGGAATGTGGTTTTGTGGGGTCATCACAAGCATTTGCGGTTTTTAGCGCCCCCCTGGGCGCGCTGGGGTCGGTTTGGCGTAGGGGGGTTTTGACTCGGTCGGACTTCCACCCGCTCAAACGTCGCGAAACGGCCGGCTCTGAACGGGGCTCTCCGCCCCGCGCGCCATCGCAGCCTCCGAGAACACGGCCCGGCAGTCACATTTCGCGCTCATCTGTCGCGCACGACTCGTTTTGGCGCCGTAGTTTGGCGGCCCGCCCTGCGGCCCCGGCCGCCGCGCCAGCGCCCGTGGCGGGCAGCGGAGGGGAAAACCAGACGACACTGCGTGAAAAGAGCTCGCAATGGACGGTGCAGGGGACGGCGCCGGCCGTCCCGCGGCCGGTTCGCGGGCGGTTCGCCGCGCGGCCCGTCGGGCGCCGCGAGCGGGCCAGGTCTCTTCCGCGCCGCCGCTCTGGGCACCAGCTGCCGGCAGCAACGCAACCGAATGTGCGTGATTCGAGAACGATTGCTCTGTGGCCGGTCGTCTGAGGCGCTTGCTCGGTTCCCGCAGCTGTCATTGACCTGACTGGGAACGCTCACGCCGTCGATGCTGTTTGTAGC